TGATCAGGGCCTGACATTAGTTGGTCATTCAATAAAGAGCAGTGGTTCAGTGAATGAATTTCCAAACACAAACTCTGGTTTGAACAAAAAACTGTTCAGGCATCAAGACACATAGTGTATTAAACATAGAACCTAAAGTACAAAAAAATTTACCTTTAAAAATAATAAACGGTTGCTAGTTTAGTTTAAAATTGTATCTTTGTTTTGGCAGATTGAGATTTTCTTTGACAAACTTGAACTTTGGTCTCAGATAAGTTAAAGTTAAAAACATTCTCACTCTCCTTTTAAGATAGCCTCTCACATAACACCAGTAACAGAATATGAGGCAAGAAGGGCTTTTAGGGTCACAATTTGAAAAGACTTTCTTGAATCCTCTTCATTATTTTGTTCTGTCTTAAAAACATGGGGGGATAGAATCAGCAAACTTAGCTTTGGTTTATATTCTTTCAAAACTGATAATCATCTGGTAAATTTTTTTCTATGGTGCAGTAAAGATAAAATTGTTGAAAGTATTAATGTAAAAGGATGAGTAAATTCTCAATTTACTTAATTATTTAGAAACAATCTCTTCTATATATTTGAAAGTATAGGAAGTCTTATTTGACCAGTTTCCAGGCTTGAGAATTTGTACTTCTCCAATTTCATTGATCTAGTTGCGAGGTAGAATAGATTAATAAAGATTAAAACCAATTGATGGATGATTTTGTTAATAACAAATGAAACCAACTTTATTTATAAATTTTCTTTTTCTTTTTAGACTGTTTTATTTGCCTTTTTGGGAAACATTAATTTCATTGTTTTGAAATTTCCAGGTTACTTGGATTTTTACTCCTGTAACAACTGAAATAACAAGTCTTGATACAGAGAATATAGATGACATTTTAAGTAAGTACTTTGATATTTTTAAAGTACACTTTCTTCTATATAGTTTATATACAAAAACAAAATAAAATTTCAACTATCTAGAACGATTGAGGAACTGGCATTCTAATTAATTCCATGGTTTACTGAATTAACAAAGCACTTTTGGTTTTAATTTTTAGTGAAATTTCTTAAAATGTATAAGTCTACTTTCCTGTGTTACAAGTAAACTTTTAGTCTTGCTTTATTTCTTTGCCTTGCCATAAATACTACTCTTAACAATTAAAGTATTTTGCTAAAGCCTACTTAGAGGCCAACAGTTTTCACTGTGCTATACTAAATGTACTTTAGGACACAGCTAGAAATTTTTTCTTTTTAAACTTTAAACTAAATCACCTACTCTGATCTCTTTTATTGTTATTGGTCCAGTTAAGTTCAGTAAGTGTTTCACTGAATTCTTTGTTCAAGGACAGTGTGCTTGTAGATACAGTTAATTTAGGGGGACACACTTCTTGTTTTTAAAAGTAGTAGAGGGAAGGTGAAGACGTGGTTGATAGAAAAATCACAGCTTAGGAAATTTAAGAAAATGTACAATGTGCATAAATTATTTTTTAAGCGCTTCATTTCAACCCACTGATTTGAACATAACAAAACCAAAAATAATAAAAGTAAAAGGAGTTTATTCATTGAGCATTATATATTGTTTTGTATTCTTGGAACTTGTTTTAAATGCTAAAATCTATTCCCACGTTATGGGACCTCTTTAGAGCAATGGTTCTATAAACTATTTCAGAATCACTTGGAGGATATATTAATATCTGTACTGCAGGCCTGGCTGCAGTTTCTGACAGAAACTGCTAGACGCAACTAAGAATTTGCATTTCTATAAGTTCCTACTTGATGCTGGTGCTTCTTGGTCTAGAGACCACAGTTTGTGAACCACTGCTTTAGAGTGAATAAGCAAGTCGATCAAAAGTGCTTTCAAAGTAAAAA